CATGGAATCTCAGCTGATCTAAAACCCATGGAATCTCAGCTGATCTAAAACCCATGGAATCTCAGCTGATCTAAAACCCATGGAATCTCAGCTGATCTAAAACCCATGGAATCTCAGCTGATCTAAAACCCATGGAATCTCAGCTGATCTAAAACCCATGGAATCTCAGCTGATCTAAAACCCATGGAATCTCAGCTGATCTAAAACTCAGGATGGCTCCAGAGCAAGGTCCAGAGTGAAATCTGGGTTTCAAAATTCTATTTCTGATGATTCTGCTTCCTCCTCTTCTTCCTCCTCTCCCCCCACCCCATCCATCTCCTGCTCTCCCTACTCTTCCGCAGAGACTAGAAGAGAGCTTCAGATACCCTGGAGCTGGAGGTATGGGTGGTTGTGAGCCATCATGTGGGTACTGAGAGTTGAACTCAGGTCCTCTGCAAGAGTAGCAAGTGCTCTTAACAGCTGTGCCATTTCTTCAATCACTATTTTTTAAAATACAGTTTCCCACCATGTAGCACAGGCTGGCCTTGAACTCACTATGTATTCCAAGCTAATCTTAAATTTATGTCAATCTTCCTTCTTGAGGCTTCTGAATTCTGGGCAGGTGTGAGCCACTACTCGGAGCAAGGTTGTGGTTTTGTTGATGTCAGCCCCTCTGATACTCCAAAAACTAAGCTAGGTCAACCCTCTTGTGCTATTTTAAAACCTGCTGACATAGCAGCTGTTGAGAAAGTGTGGGAAAAGGGAAGGAAGCAGGGCTTTGGAGAGGGACCCTGGGTCCTGAGGTCCCACTTGACACCTCTGTGGGGTGTATTAGTTCGTTGTCTGACACTATATCCTAAATACAAGAGACTAGGTAATCTGTGAACAAAAAAAATTGGAAGTTTCTTTAGCTTGTGGTTTTGGAGTTTGGGAGTCTAAGGACACATGAACATCTGTCCAGCATCTGGTGAGCCTCTTCCAGCTGCATCAGAATGTGACAGGGGCCTCACATGGAGGGACAGACACTAGCCCTGGATTCTGCTCCTCATGAAGCCAGTCATGCCATCCTGGGACTCCACCCCCATGATCTTATCTAACCCTAACCTCCCAAAACCTCACCTCTAGATGCCATCAACATACAAAACAGAGGTGTAATGCATATTCTTCCGGCCAATGGCCTTGGCCCTGTCGAGCTGTCTGAACCCCCAAATAACACAAAAGACACTATATTTATTATGAAGCTGTTGGCCATTTGTTTAGTTTCTTATCGGCTAGGTCTGACTTGATTATTAACCCATATTTACTCATATATATACATATATATATAAGTATATATATATACATATATATATATTATAAGAACTTATCTTTGCCAGGACATGTTCCTGCCATGCCCATTCCTCCCAGGAGTCACATGGCGACCAGCCTCTTCACTACAGTTCCCAGAGTCCTCTTGGACTCCTAGTCTCACCTATCTTGTTTCCCTATTGGCCAACAGTGCTTTATTCAACAACCAATAAGAGAGACAGATTTACAGAATAACATCTCCCATCATAGAGGAGAAACTTGAACGCAGGACTTGGGGTGCATGTTCACACCTTAGCATGGGGGTGTCAGAAATGAAGGTGGAGTCAGGAGGCTTGTCAGGAATCAGGTCCATCTCCCTGGGAACAGAAGTCCCTCTGCTACCATCGGTATTCAGCAAATGGGTTCTACTCATGAGCATAGGAGTTTGAATGCCATTGTACAGACAGGATATGACGTTGACTTTAAGAAGAAGAAAGACATCTGTTCTGTTACCTCACCTCCAGCCTCAATAGCAGCCCCACAGTCTCAGCCCCCATCTCTCCTGTGGGCTGTCAGTTGTTGGCAATCCTTTGTGTGACTTAAAATGGTTCAAAGTCATGTGCATACTTCAGCTAGGGAAAAGGAGTGATCGGGAAGGATGAGCATGGTGATCATGCTCCGTGACCCAGAATTCCAGCCACTTCTCTACCACAGCCCTGGCATTCATTTATTCAGTGCCTGCACGCTGTGCACCACTAGGAGGACTGTCTAGTCATCACTTCCAGTATCCAGCATCGATTGAAAGTTTACCTCGTTTTCTTGTCCATGAACATCAGATGTTGAGGAAAAATATATTCATTGTCTTGTGTCTATTCTTATATGTGCGTTTTGGTGTTCTGTGTTTTTGGAGCTGGAGTCTCACCTTATGCCCAAGATGGTCTCCAACAGTATAGACCATGATGGCTTCTCCTCATGGCCATTGTCAAGGTCTCAGGATGGAATGTTGCTATGCAGGCACCACCACACTGCTTCTTTCCCCTGTGTTTATTGTGTGTGAAGACCACTGTTGAGTGCTGATAGGCAGGCAGGTCCTCCCCTTGGAACAACGTGCAGTTTAGGAAAGCTATGAGTGAGCTATTGTAAAGAGTGCCGGGAAAATGTCACCAGTGTTTTGAGAGAAGAAAACCCTAAAAGTTTCATAGTCAATGATTAGGACTCATCGTCTCTGGAAAGATAGTTTCAAAGACTCTTTGAGACAGGATTCTTACAGCCTGATCCCCAAGAGACAGATAAAACAAGTGATGCTGGAGTACCAGACAGCAGGGTTGGAAGAAGCCATAACTGTGTACAGCCGTGTGGAAGGGTCTTAGAAACCTAGAGTTGAGTGGAAAAGCAAACCTCCCATGATGTCATTTTTATAAAACCAAACCTAAAAAAAAACTAAACAATGTGTGGCTTCAAGTCACATACATAAGGGATAAAATCATATACAAAAAAGATAGGATGTGAGAAACCAAAATTTAAGTGACATATACCAGGAGGCCAAGAGAGGGAGGGAAAAAAATGAGTCTACTCTAGGTAAGTTCTTGTAAAGTTAGTGGTAGGCTCATAGAGGGTGTTTGCATATGCGTTAGATGCATTTTCAGATATACCAATGAGAATTACCTTCTATAATACATTTTAATACCATAAAGGAGGGCACATAAGCCAAGCCCCTGAAGAATCTAGGCTGGTCCAAATGGGACTCGGCCCTAGGTGAACTGCAGAGGACCTTTCCGCCTACAGGGGGCGCCCTGACCCGGCCACAGCTCAGGTCGCCTAGCAGGCTTGAGAGCTCAACACTGTTTCTTAAGAAGCCCGACACCTGTACCTTTATAAGCAATATCTCAGATTTCAAATGTTGGCCGCGGTTTCCAACTTTAAAGACTGCAGAGGCGAACAGTTCTTTGGAGGGACATGTTCAACCCCTGAAAGGAAGCGCTGGGAGCAAACCGTGATTCTGAGCCCACACGAAACGAGAGTGTCTAATTTTACTTCTACCATATTGCCCCGCTCTGAAGGCAGGCGGAAAACCCATCCTCTCTGCATCCGCATCCGCATCCGCATCCCCGGAGAGAGCTATTTGCAACCTGCCACCCTCTGGGTGGCTGCGCAGCTCTCACCTGCACTTTGCACCTCTAACTTTGGAAGGTGTGAAGGTGGTGTGAGCCCAGGGGAGATGGGGGCTCTGCCCCAGCATGCTCTCTGTCTGTGCCCTCTGCCAGCTTGCAGAGATGCTGGTAACACCTTCATAAAGGGCTCTGGGGGAGTAATGGCTGATCTTAGTGATGTAAGGTCGTGTTGGAAGGCTGCATGCCATGCTGACCCCTGCTGGGACGGAAGGCTTTCCGTAGAGGAAAAATACTATGCAGGATCTAGACACGCGTGAATGGTGGGAAAGTAGAGGGGAGACCATGGGGAGGGGGTGCCTAGAGTGTCTAGGAGACAACAAAAGAAAGTCATATTTAGAATCTGGACCTAGCTATGTATGTATCTGTGGATACAAACACACGTATGTAGATGCCTTTATGTGTGTGTATACACACGTATGTGTATATAACATGAGAGCAGAAAGGGCCTGTTTAGAAGAAGGAAGGAGATCAAGGACAGATGTGGAGGACCAATGAAGCAAAGCATAATTACTAGGGTCTGGGAGACAGCTCACTGGTGAAGTACTTGCTGTGGAGGCATGAGAGCCTGAGTCCATCCCCCAGAGAGCCTCAGTCCATCCTCCAGAGAGCCTCAGTCCATCCCCCAGAGAGCCTCAGTCCATCTCCCAGAGAGTCTGGGTGCATCCCCCAGAGAGCCTCAGTCCATCCCCCAAAGTCTGTGCAAGAGCTAGGAGCTGCAGTCTATGCATCTATAATTCTGGAGCTGGGGAGATGGAGATGGGAGCTGCTGGCTATTCTGAATCCAGTCCACTGCGTCAGTAGTGACAGACTGGGAGACACCCAGTGTCACCCTCTGGTCTCCAAAGTCATGTATACACACACACACACACACACACACACACACACACACACACACACACACGTCTGACAATGTAACACTGAGGTCCATCTTTGTGTATGCTAACTAAAGCAGGGAATACAGAATAAATGGGAAAAAAACACAATTACAGGGGCAAGCATGCCGTCTGCATAAGTTTCTCCATAGCTTGGCTGGGGGATTTCTACTCCTGCAGAGGTCCTCAGCTGCATTCTACCCCACTCCCCGGTCACCTGGCACTATCTGGAGACATTTTGGGTTTTTCCACTCAAACAAAGACATGATTCAACACGTGAGGACTGTCCCCAAATCACTGGTGGTAGTTCCAGATCAGCAGCACAGATAAACTCCCGTTGTTATACAGAGCAGAGTCTTTTCTTACCCCAACACTCAGTGAGGAATTATCCCACCAAGCCCAGAAACAGCCCCCCCCCCGCTCACCCCAACTAAAAAGACAAAGATAAATAAAGCTACGCACTGCCCAACCGCCATGAGTTATGAAAGGTGTGTGTTGGAGGCAGGGCACAGAGAGAGGTGGAACGAACATGAATTTACACGACATGCCCTTTAGCTCGAGCTGGGATTTGTGGCCACTCTTTTTGGTTTTATTAAAGCATAATGCTCACAAGCAGAAGAGGAGATTTGTTATTCTAAGACAGTTGCACACCAAGGCGCGCTATTGTATAATCTGGCATTCCCCCCACTAGGGAGCTTTGGCGCATTACTCACAAGTGACAGAACCAACGAGCTTCGTCTCCCAAGAGGCCACTGCATCTGTTTAAAGGGAGCAGACACCATGTAGATCCACCCACCACCCCCGTGGAGGAGCACAGGCAGAGGGTAGGTGAGCTACATGTCTATCATCGGGATGTGGTGGGATGAACCAGGCACTAACTCTATGCCCTTCTCTCCTGCTGCCTACAACAAGGGGAGGGACAAGTACATCTGTGTGCCAAGAGCAGTGCCTGCCACAAGACACGAGGTAGGCACCCAATTGGTAGTCAGAGCTTCAACTCAGTGACTACATTAGGGGAAGTCCCAACTGTGCCTCCGTTTCTCATCACATCTATGATACTGGGCTAAGAGCTTGGTTTGGGTATGGAACTTAACCATATGACCCTCTTGGACCTTGATCTCTCTCTCTCTCTGAAACTCAGTTTTCTTGTCTAAATAGTGGGTTTGTGGGGCTGGAATTCTCAGTGGTTAAGAGCTAAGAGTGTGTACTGTTCTTGCAAAGAGCCATTTGGTTCCCAGCACCCACGTGATGGAATGTGCTCACAATTGCTTGTAACTCTAGCTCCAGGGAATCTGATGCCCTCTCCTGCTCTCTGAGGGCACATTCACCCCATATGTGCGTGTGCATGTGCAACACACACACACACACACAATTTTTAGAAGTTTTTGTGTTAGTAATCATTAAATCAAAATGTCATTGTCACAGTCAAATGGACAAGGACTGTTCAGCAGATGTGAAAAATCCAATAGGTTCTGGCTACCAATGACTCTTTCTACTAGTGTCCAAGAACCAAAGAAGCCACTGTGCTGCTGCCTGGAGCTCACAGAATGGGTGTCAGTTCAAGTGGGATCACGGGTAAAAAAGCACTCCAAAAAATTCAATATGCTCTATCAATATTATATAATGAAACCAATGTGAACATCAACGTAAAGTTATTGTGCAGATCTTTAGAAAACAGAAAAATGCTACAGCTTGTCATGCCTACTGCTGGTATGGGGAGACATTTGCAAGCTGCTTTGGTTGAGCGGCAAATCTCCAGGATCCCTGTCCAGTATTTTTTGTGCTTAGCAATAGATGAGGTGAACTTTCTGGAGTTTGGCAACCCAGGTAGAACATCTTTGACACAGTCATAAGCTTTGTTTTGTCTCTAAATGAGGCATGAGAACAAAACCTATGACCCTGGGCAGTGAAAAAGAGTGAAACCAGACAGGGAAAATGTTTAGCAGGGACATCTGGCATGTGGAAAATCCTGCTGCGACATAGCAATTGTTAGCTTTAAGTTAACAATAGCTGGTGTGGTGATGTGTGTCTGTGTATTCTGCTAAGGATCTTACACACATGGAGGGTATATATCTCGTCCATGTTCCTTGGAATATAGCTTGGCATCCTGAGTATCATGATGAGGACTCTGAAGATGGCTGAGCAAGTTGTCACCATGCCATTGTATTCCTAGGAACATAAGGACAAATATTTGTTCATCCCAAGAGAGGGAATTGGTGGCAGACCGAAAGATGAGGATACCCAAGTCCAACTTGTCAGCTACTGAGTTTGTTGGGATTACTTGCAGGAGAAGGAATGACTCAAAGGCAGCTGCATCATTGAAAAACCACCACAGGGTGGGTGACAACTCAAAAAAGCTATTAGCCTGGGGCTTTCTGCACAATTTGCAGGCAAATTGACAGGTCAAAGAGTCTCCTCTCCCCTTCAGCTCTTACTCCTTATGTAACCTTGAGGGTCCTTGTGCATCAGGGATTTACTGAGACTTGTGAGTTGTTTTTACTTTCCAAGTCTTAAGAGGATTCCTTTAGGGGTGGAATGCTTCAATTAGGAGGAACAATCTGGTACCAGACATCACAGGGGAAGTTCTCGTCATGCTAGTGGCATCCTTTTGCAGTTTCAGAAAATAGGCTACCTGGTTAGGCAGAGTTTCAAGAGAGATAATTCCACAAATCAGATTCTCCATGGATAATTTTATTTCAGACTCTTCATGTCTCTGAGCTCCTTGAGAATAAGCGGAGGCCATAGCTCCCTTGTTCTGATAGCAACCTCTGGCCTGCACCAGAATTCCCTGCGGGGCTGATGGATGGACACGGCTTCTACCCCACCCCTCAGGGGGCTGGTTTTCTTCTGCTCTTTATTTTACATCTCTGACGCAACAAGGTCACTACTGCTCCTGTTGATGCTGCTTGAGGTCCAGGGATTACAACATAGCAGTACCATCACAGGTGAGCTTAGCTTGACTTTAGCTAGCAGCCTCTCTGAATTCAAATAACGCAAGATGTCTCCAAGTGTCTCTCAGTGCTCTCTGTGAGCTGCAGTCACCCCTCATCAAGAGAGCTTGCTATTGGGTGGGACGACCTGGATTCTAATCTCAGTCTCTTAGCATCATATGGCCATGGCTATTATACGGGACCTTTCCAGACTACTTTACCATGCAGTGGTGTAAGAATATGAACCTTAAAGTGTCCAAGCAGGAATTAAGGGGTAAAAGCTTGGTGAAATGGTACACACCTTAATTTCAATTCTTGAGAGACCAAGGCAAGGGTTCATGAGTTCAAGGGCAGTCTGGATTGTATAGGGAGACTCTTCCAAAAAGCAAAACCAACTAAAGAGATCATATGTCTATCCTTTATGTGCGTACACTGGCCATCTAGTTAGTTATTGCTTTAAATACTCCATTTCTAATTTGCTTAGTTCAATGTCTTCTCAAAAGTTTTCCCATGCAGAGTGGAGGAGTGGCATCTACTTTAATCCCAGTGTGTGGGGTGAGACTGAGGTACAAGGGTTGGAGCTCACACCAACTTGGTCTACATGAGAGTCTGTCTCAAAGGAGCTTCATGTAGGATGTATCAGATTGGTTGCTAGTTGGGATGTAAACTAAGAAACTTACACGAAAAGCCAAAAACTTTCCATTTAAAGAAATAATTCCAAAGCCTCAAAGTTTTCTCCAGTACTCTGACCCATATCTGGCCATTATCCAACTAAGTAGCCCTAGTGCCCAGCTGGGAAGTGGCCGGTTCCTAATGTGCACCCCGGCTTCACGCTCACCTCTCTTAGACTGCACAGAGAGAGACTTTATATTTTTAAGTCAGCATTTTAGATTATAAGTCAATCTAATGGGTTTCATCAAATCTATGCCATTGTGCATTTTTCTCACCGGTTCCCTGCTCCATTGTCCTCCCATGTCACCTCCCTATCTCCAGCTGGTCCTCCCCCCACCGCCTCCCAGTGTGTGGCAGTGCAGGCTCTTTCCTGGAGTCCACAGTACTCAGGATTGTGTATTTGGGCACAGCCTGGGCTACATAGCAAGACCTTGTCTCCAATAAAAGACAATAAGATAAAATATAAAAGAGAGATCTGCCATGCTCTTTTCCAGCTGTGTTCTAGAAGCCAGTGCTGGTGTCTGGAGTGAGCTACAAGCCCAGACAACTGCCGGTGAAGAGTGATGGATACTGGCACACACGAGGGATCACAGATTTTTCTTTGGCTGTCAGCTCTTGAAATTACCCAGCAATCCCAAAATGAATTTCCACTAATCTGACAGTTTTGCCTCGCCTGACATGACGTACTGTATATTCAGTGGTCAGTTGGGACTATTTAATTGCAGTTAAGTCTGTACTGCTCACTGTGGCATTGAAAATGGAGCCGTGTGGAATCTGGTTAAACTTCCCGACTCTCCGGGTCCAGATGGGTGGGTGGAATGCAATCCCCGTCTCTTTTGAATCCTTCTACCTGGAAGCACTCACTAATTAACTTTTACTGACTCGCTGCTCCAATGCATTCACTTTCCAGATTCATAAATATCAAAATCAAAACTCAGGTCGAGTTGCTCTGTAGTAGGGAGAAGGTTCTAGGCATCAGATGAGACTGGTGCAGAGTTGAAACTAGATTAAAACGAAAGGGAAGATGGAGTGATACGGTGCATAACGTTTTTTGAGGACGGTCTGTATGACTGACAGATTTCAAGTATCATCTGACTCTGTTCGTACAACATTCCAATGAGAATGGGACAGCTTTTTCCCCTTCCTTTGACAGCTGCGGAAGCAGGGATAGAGAGTGAAAGGAATTGCCAGAGATCTGTAGCCAGGCAGAACAAGGTGTGAGGAGGCCAGCTCTGAGCCACGCAGCACACGCTCTCAAGGACTGCACAGCTTCCCAAAGATGCTAATCAACATTTGGGCTGGAGTGTATACGTTTTCACACAGGATGAAGCCACAATCCAGACTCCTTGAAGAGTCTCATTCTGAGTGAAGCCACCCCAAACTCAATGGGTTATCTCACAGTGATTCACAAGTCTGGGGGTACTGTAACGTTCCATCGTGTCACACTTAATTGGGATCTTCCGACCACTTCTGCTACGTGACATGTAACTCAAGAACAGTTTTGATGGGTGCTCTGGATAGCAGTCAAATCTAACGATACATATCTACAAGGTGGTCACACAAATGTCCCCATAAGATGCTGTAAACACCCGAACAGGGAAGACTTACAGGGACCCACCCATTCGTTATCAACTTCCTCCTTCTGGCAACCATTATTCCAGATGCTGGAAATACAAGCAGGGATAGATAAGTCGTAAGTTCCCCGTGCTCAGAGAGCTTGCGTTCTACTAGGCAGGAGTGGTTGACTGACTAGACAAACAAGCGAAATATGTCATACATCAGGCAGTAAGTGCGAACCAGCAAAGTAAATCTGGGAAAGGGAGGAGGAAGGGCTGGGATATTCGGAGGGCGTTCCAGGGAGAAGGACCAGCTGATGCCGTGGCTTGTCTGAGGAACAGCAAGGAGCTCCAGTGGGAGAGAACCCTGGCACTTTTGTGCTGTCGTCCTTTAAATATTAACAGCCTGAGGTACAGCAGACATGCGATTAATTGTACCCATTAAAGTACGTAATGTGATGCATATTGCTATAGGAGAGTGCTCACGAAATCGTCTCTGTGGCAACAAATAAACTCATCACTTCTGGAAGTTTCCTTGGTGACCACTCACTTCCATACATCCCTGCCCTGGGCCCTCAGCCCCATGCAAATGCTGTAATATATATATATATATATATATATATATATATATATATATAACTATATAACTATATCC